CGGCTTCCCCCACCCCTTCGTCCTTTGCCCCCCTGTGGGGAGTCGTCTCCAGTGCCCCCGGCGTGGCAGGGAGGCGGCAGGCGGGTTTGCGTGGCTGTCTCTTCTTGCACGAAACGGGCAGAAGAACAGCTTCTTGTCGCGGGGATGGTGTTTCCTTCCTGGTCATTTCTTGTGGCCCCCAGATATTTTTTTTTATTTTTTTGATTTTTATTTCTTTTTCCAGTTTCCTCCTCGGTTAGCAGGGAAGTCATAGGGAGATAAGTTAGCTGAATGCAGCCTCCGTTGGTAAAGGCATTCTGGCATGGAGTTGGGCGGTCACTTGCGGTTTCACCTTTAAAAAATAGTTAAATAAGACCTTGTGATGCTTAAGTCTTTGACAGTGGGTTTGTGTGCCCGTCAAAATCCACGTTTTTCTCAGCCTGTGGAGGTGACCTACTTTCTAAACGGGGACTGTATATGGTTGTCACACTGTAAATTGAACTGTGCCAAATTAATTACACCAGGTGTTGCTGTGAAAAATATGTCACACACAGACCAACTGTTTCACATACAGTGTTATCCCAAGGGATGATACTGTTTATGCCATTTTATCTGGATTTCGGTGGAAACTGAAGGTGTCCTGAGCTGAGGTTTTTACCAGTTTTCCAGCTGCAGAATAGAAAATGTAGCTTTTACTCAAAATGCCAGATCTCCACTAGTTTGACCGCGACATTAAGTGCAGCTACAAGAACTTTGCATGACATAATATGCTCCATTACCACCATCTTGACAGTGAGCAAACAGGCTGATCTTCCGTTGAGAACAGCACACAATGTTCTCCTAGAGAAAAGCCAAAGAAAAATCCTGTGACTTGAAAACCATTTGTTTGTTGTTGTCTACTTTTACTCTATACCTATATCATTAACCTTTAGCAATGACAATGTTCTCAACTGAGGACTCAAGATACTAAGTAAGTCTGGTTTGTTGTGTCTTTGTCCTAGATATTTATGGACATAGCATTTGCAAATCCTGCTGTGGCGATAAGTCCACTGAATATTGCTGATTTTATGGAAGAAGATAAGATTAAGTTGGGGGATCTGTACTGCTGAGTATGTCTCTCGCACTGTTCCAATTGTAATGCTTTCATGTTATCACCTGAGGAGAAACTAAATCAAACTTTATTGTACAGATTATACCTTATGTAGTATGCTGCTCTGAAGAAAAAGAAAGTATCTGCTTTCTGTGATTTCTGTTTCTTCTTCCATGTGAGCCAGTTTACTTAGGAAAATGTTTCTGCATCTTAAAAAGCTTCCCCCATCTCTAAGTCATTTTTTATCAGTTCAACTCTGTTTATTTCTGGCTAGCTTATAGCTTTCACTCTTTTGTCTCTCTAAAATAGGGTGATACTATTCACACCTGTCTCGTTTTATATATGATCAATACAAGGTGGCAAATTGGTGGCTATCAATAGTTAAGTATTTGGAAATATTTGATATCAGTTATGTTGAGCTATAGCATTTTTCAAATCCATTATTTGGCTGCTGGAATGGTGACAGTTTGTGGGTCTCTAGCAGAACTCTGCTGAGAGATTTTTTTTGAGAATTGCAGCCTGTTTCATAGGGAATTGATTTGAACAGCAGTGCTAATTTTCTACTGTTGTATGACTTGGAAGCTTTTTCTGTTGTTCGTATAAAGCCCCAATATCTCTGTCAGTTTCCTTGCTCTTAGTTTGTCTTTTGTGTGGAGGGTGCAGATGGGATTGGGGGAATACCACAGAATACCTCTATAGTAAGTCTCCATACTCCAGATTTTCTAGCAGTAAAGTACTGAAGCTGAAATGGTGGCTAGTTAAACTCTGTTCTGCAGGGCTCTGCATCTATCAGTGTTTTACTGGTTTTCTGCAGCAGAGCTTTCGGAAGATGCACTGGACGGAACCTGAAAGATGAGATGAATTTGATGGAATAGAATAATATGATGATACAACTAAAGGGCTGCACATCAGTGTCTGGAGTACATGCTACTGCTGGAGAGTTTTTTGTTCACTTGCTTCTTATCTGTTTAAATGAAATTCAGTCCCATTATTTTGCCAGTGCCTGTGCGCTGTCTAGGCTGCAGGTACAGGTACAGCCCAATGACACTAATGCAGGACTTAGCGTGAGAGAGTTTACTGTGCTTTTTGGATAGGCTTTGCAGTCCATGTGCCCTTATGGTTGGCATTGCTGCTGGCTTCAAAGTAGTAGCTTAGAATTAGTTCAAGACTTCACTGCAGTCGTCTCTCCTCAGTCTCAACCTTCCTGTGCATAGTCCTTATCTTTTCCTTATTAATTTGTCCTTCTTTGTTACTACCGTTATGCCTGGTGCAGTGTCTCTGTCAACTATTTTCTTTCTCCGGAAGGGATAATTGATTCAGCAGTGCTCTCACACTGAAATAGCCATCAACTACCATTTGGCTCAGTTAAAAATGCAGAATAAAAGAATATAGTTTTTAAACTTGCTGAAATGTGAAAAGGGCACATACATGAGAGTTGAATTCTTGTTTAGGAAAAGTTCAGTTTTCAGCTCTCTTACATTCTCTAACTTTTTTGGATAATCCTATTTTCAACAAATATCAGAAGATCACAAGCTATTAGATTTGTTATCTAATTATGGGGAAGGCAGTTTAGTCTTCACATGAGAAAGGGTTGTACTTCCTTACTGAGCACAGAATCTTTGAGCTGTAATCTTTCACTCCATAGTTCAGATTATGCAACTAAGTCAGTAAGTGTATGTAACTGGGGGGTGGAGGGGGCAGGGGTGAAGCGGAGAGTGTCTTAATGTGGGAAGAAAATAGAGCAGGATAGAGTGAATTAAACTCTTGTGGACCAATTGGTTTTTGACTTACTTTGCTAATTAATGCTACTGTTCTTTGTGTTTGACCACCTGAATGTTACCTTTCGAACATAATACCCTACTTGCCCCTAGCAGTAACAGGACAGCTGCGCTTTTCAATGCCCAGCTGCTAAGCAGAAGGAAAGTTCTGCTTGAAGATGGTGAATTTGCAAGTACGGGCAATGACTGAAAGCCAAAAACTCCCTGTGTAATGCACAAATGACTCACTGAGAGGTAGCAGGGAGACAGTGGAAGTGGGGATTGCTACTAATACAACTGCTGCTTAGGCTGAAATGATTAGACCCATTGCCTCAAAGTTCTAATATGATTGCATATGTACTGGTTCAGCTGATGGATACAATCGCCTACCATGTTTTCATTTTGACAGTTGTTTCTTTGCTCAGCATCTTGATGTGATTGTTAGGTTTGTTAAGATCTTAGTTTGAAAATATATGTACATTTAAAAAATAATTTTCTGCAAACGTCTTAGATGTTTGATATTCTTTAGGTAGTATTTGGATATCTTTTAAACTGGCACTGAGTTGTATGATTGTTTTTAATACAAAGTTCTTATTTATTTAAAGATGCAGTTCTATTAATGAAAAATGCTGCAGCAAAATGAGGAATACAGTACTACAGGCTAAATAGCAACAGATTAAATATTTTTAAATAATTTTTTGATATTGCAGTTTACTGAACAGTCTATAAAACTGTACAAATATTATCAATTCTCAGAAATTCATGCTGAAGTGCAGTTGAAGAATTACGGAAAATTTCTTGAGGAATACACCTCTCAGCTGAAGAGAATTGAAGATGCTTTGGATGACTCTGTTGGAGATGTTTGGGACTTCAGTCTTGATCCCATTGCATTAAAGGTCTTCATATATTGCAACTGTTACTTTCCTAGTTCCTCCTTCCCTTCAAAACCTGAGAAGTAAAAGCTTGATGCACTTGTGCTCTTAAAATTTTTACTTTTGTGTTTGAGAAACCTATCCAATACCATCTTAATTATTTAATTACCAAGTAATTAATAAATTGGTGCATATCATAAGAGAAGATGTTTACATATGATTCTTTTCCAGTCTTCTGGATAGTAATGGAAGTTAAGTGAACTTACAGTTCTTCATGTGTTGGGAAGCCTAATTTCAGCAAACTTCTTCCTTGCGGGTGTTGGTATTTTTATCTGGGGGTTGGGGTTCCAGAAGAGCTCACTAATACTTCTATAACTGCAGAGCAAACTCTGTGTGTATTTATAGTTGTGGTTTGACTTAGTGGCCTTGGTACAGTATTTTCTGCCCTTACGAGGTGGCTATTTCCTTGGTCATGAGTTCTCTGTCCTCTGTGGAGCATTATTTTTTTTCTCTTCCCCGAATTTGCAGACATCATTTAAAAATGCTTTTGTTACCACATGGAATTTGCCTGTGCTGAAGATGCACTCTTAATTTCTTCAAATTATTCAGACAGATGATTATTTATGTGTAGGGCCAGCACAGTGCTGGATGTATATGAACTAGTCAATATCATGGCTGACTTCAGTACAAAATGTCAGTGACTGCATACAGCTATACACTATGCATCCTATTTCCTGCATTTGGCATTCTTAATTCATGTTCTAGGTTTCTTGAGGTGTTTTTTTCTACATACACTGTGATGACCGTGCTTTTGCTTTCCAAGTTTTGTAAGTAATTTATTGTAAATGCTATGTAGTATAGCTAGTTATTTTGCCTTTCTGCCTAGAGTTGAAAGGAAAGGTATTTCCATGTAAGTGTGAAGAGAGAAGGTTTCCTGCAGTGTAGGTTGCCAGTAATGAGCAATCATTGCTGTCTTATTACTGACCTTATTTGAGCTTAAACTGGGGAAAAAAAATTGCTTACCTACTTGGATAAATGTATTTTTGATCAATGTTTTCTAAACTGTATGTTTGTTGTTTTTTGTTTTGTGGTTTTGGTTTTTTTGGGCTTTTTTTTTTTTAATTTTAGCTTTTGCCGTATGAACAGTCCTCTCTACTGGAACTCATAAAGACAGAAAACAAGGTAAGCGCTTTATGCTTAAAAGAGAAGAAAATAAAAGAGTTATTGTAACTAAAACCAAGCTCTCTAAACGTGATTCTATTTGTAATCTGTGTGGTTTTTTTCTCCTTTGAGTTTAGGTTCTAAACAAAGTAATAACTGTATATGCTGCCCTTTGCTGTGAAATCAAGAAGTTAAAATATGAGGTAAATTCATTTGTCTTTTAGGACTGTGTTTGAAAATGTTTGCAGATTGGCAAGCTGATGTATAAATTTATTCTTTAGCAGTAAAGAAACAAGATGTAATGTCTAAATAATTTTTATAGCATAATTACATAGATCCTATTTATTAAAAAAAAATTTCTGCTTTTGTTGTTAGGCAGAAACTAAATTTTATAATGGCCTCTTGTTTTATGGAGAAGGAGGTAAGTAGCTCCCTTTACTGTAAAAGTTTGTAGTTTTACATTATTGTTTCGGGTTATGTTAAGTGCTACATGCTTTCTCTGTATATTTGACTGATGAACACCAAATAATGGACTTTGAGGTTATATGGATACATGTTAGTGCCTTGTAGCTGTCCTGAGTTAGCTTTAAGATACAATAAGATTTATCTGTTACATTAACAGGAAGTTTTGTTGCAGCCTTGTTTACGTGAGAAGTAGGGAGTATGGGCTGTTTACATTGTATTTAACATATCACATATAGAAACTTGAGCTTGTATACTGTAGCAGCTGTTTTTCAAAGTATGGCATTGAAAACCTGTTTTTCATGTGTAAACACATCCTATACCAACTTATTTCCTATTGGGGCTAGATTGTACATTGGTTGTGGTAAAACAGTAAATCTGTAATTTGATTGTAATAAAACAACGAGACCATTAATAAATAACTCAGACCATCAAGTCCTACCTGATTTACTTACGCAGTCGTAGTTGTTCGAAGAGAAGTTGCAATGTGTTAATGTCATCTGCACTTCAGGTGCAGGTGATGGTACTTGTACTACTGTTTAGACCATGACATGATACAGGGGCATAAGTGGTTGTAAGTCAATTCAATTGACAAATCACGAGACCCTGCTTTAGGTGAAAGCTGCTTTTTGTCTTGGAGTTAGACTGGTAACTCCTCTGAAGGGTTGGTGTTAGGCTTCCACTTTAAAGGATGCTAGTCTGGGAATAAGCACAGATCTGAGTTCTGAGGACTGAATATATTAACGAGTTGATTTAGAGACATATCACCTAACTTTTTTTGTATTTCAGAAATTTGAGAGAAAGGGAAAAGCAATAAAAAGAGGGTTTTGTTAAGCTTCTCAAGAGCCTGACTGTGACAGAAGTATTGGGGAATGTGAAATCTTTGAGACAGGGACTGTTTATCATTCTTTTCAGTGCTATATCAGATGACTGTTGTGGTTCAGTTAAGGAACATGAAAAAGTGTGGTGGGTTTCCTCCCCCTTAGCAGATTCTCACTTCTTATCAGACATCGTTTTAAGTATCTTAAAAGAAAGTGATATGCTGCCAAAATGAAATTAGGGAATCCCACAAAACTTTTCCATGTCTCTAGCACGAAAAAAGGCAGACTGCAGATAAACATATCACAGCAGCAGTTTGTTCCTGGTGGGTGTTCTGCAGAGAATGCTTGAGAATGGCAGGAGCTGAGAGGTCAGCATTCTGTGGGTTAGGTGAGGATGCAGAAATTATGTTTTCCACTTCCATATCCCTCCTTGTAGCATCTACTTTGATAACAGCAAACTTGCGTACTTAGAACAGCTGGCAAAGTTCCCGTCTGAAGGATGGTTGAAATTAAAACAAATACTGATGCTGGCCTTTTTCTTCTGTATAAAGAGACATTTTTTTCATCTTGTCCTTGGAGTGCCTAGGCCTAGTCTAGGAACTTTAAATAGTTAGTTGGATTTGTTTTTTGGGCACATACACTAAACAGGGTAAATGTTACATGAAATGTGTAAAGGGGAAGCGTGCAATATTTAGAATCTTGTCCCAGTGCTCTATCTTACAGAAGTATCAAGACTACTTTAGTCTCTGGTGACTGCTCTAAAATAACATATTTCATGAAGCAATAAGACCTGCATTTCTTATGCAGGTAAACTTGCCCATTTTTGCTCAGAGTGGCCTAGTAGAAAAATCTCACGTCTAGAGCATTAATCTGTCATCACATTAAAAAGACTGTATTTCAGTCAACTGAAGCACCTGACAAAACAATTTGGCATTAGTGATGTAATTATTGTATTTCATAGTATCCTGTTAGTGTGCTTTGTCATACAGGTAATGCTATGAAGCTATGGTGATGAGCTGGTTCTTTTTTGCAGGATGATATGTAGGAAAAAGAAAGTCAATTTCTTGACGGAATTATATGCTACACAGCTTTTTCTTCTAATTACTGATGTAGTATATTCTTTCAATAAATAATTACCAAGGATGTTCTTTGCAATATGAATACCTAGTGCTTTCACACAAACTTTTTAAAATGCAAACTTTTATATTAAGTTACATAATATAAAAGCCTTTAAAGAATTCCCTTGCATATTCTTTATTTTCTGTCAGGCATCGGAGACCTTTTTTCTTGCTTTGTGTCTAACTTACAAACAATGAGAAAGAAACTTCAAAATTAAGTCCAGCTTAGGAAAGCAAAAATAAAAGTTTTTAAGGTTCCATCAGTATGCTTATAATAGTGTGCTCCACTTGTATGACAAACAAATGGCTTAGAGGGCAAGCCTCGATGTTAATTTAACAGGTTGAGCACAGGCTTTTGAAAATAACGACAAATGTTTGTCTTACAAGCCACAGATTCCAGCATGGTGGAGGGAGATTGCCAAATACAGATGGGAAGATTTGTTTCTTTCTTGCAGGTAGAGTATGTTATGATTTCTTTTTTTTTTTTTTTACAGCAATTATAATCTTAATTTTACTTGCAAAGTGGATTTAAGTCTGCAGGATCCTGCTTGCATTTTGCTAAAAGCTATTAGAGTCATTTGATATGTTGCTGTGTTTTGCTTGCAGGCCTGTCACAGTCAGATGATGTATCACACATTGTTTTGGATTTTTTTTATACTTTTCTAAAACTGTGGAATTCTAATGAGAGTTGAAATTACAGTTTGTGTAATTGTTGTTCAAATAAATTTGAATTTATTTAAGAAAATTTCAGTAACGGAAGATAAATTGAGGTTGTTTCACTTACTGGTAAAGTTAAATGTATCTATTTTTATGGTTTTTCATTATCAAGTTTTAATTTTCATTGAATACTGGAAATTAATTAATTGTTTGTACATTAAATTAAAAAGTGTACCTGGCGTTTCAGTCTACTGTGAATTTTTTTTTTTTGTCTTCAGCATAGCTTAAGTGACTGTCCTGTTCCCAAAAATGTTTCTATTTTTATGTAATATTGCTTGTAACAAAATCTATGTTGAAGTAGAGAATATATAGGAAGCTTCCAGAATGTTAAATTTTAGTTCAACAAATGTTAAGAATCCTGTTTTTTCTGTATACTAGCATGGCAGTAGTCATTTACTGAGTCATAACAAGTTGAATGCTATAGGAATTTCTTTCTTGACCTCATTTATGATGCCCAAGTGTAGTTAGTTGTTAGAATATCTTGAGCGGGTTTTTTCCCATTTTAAGTTTTTTGTCCTATTGACTTTGTCAGTTTCTTCTGTCATCCTCTGTTTCTTTCAAGTTCTTTGAGAGACTGAGTTCTGAGACTCGAGTTCTGAAATGGGGCTACTGTACACTTGTGTTTTTCCAACTTTTTTTTTTTTTTTTTTTCCACTGCTAGAATGGAAGTTGAGAGCAGGGTGACTGGCTGTCTGGATATCTACGTGCATTGCAAACCCACTCTGTAGAGCAAGTTTGTGTTTATTAGGGAGTATATGCTCATGTGTGTATTTATAGGGTGAACACTGTACAAAAATATAGCAGTATTGCGTGTGAGTCTACTTTGTATGCTACGATGGCTTGCTGATTGTTGAGCAACTTGGGAAAGAAGGGAGATGAGATATGGGATGTTGCCCCAAAAGGAAGGTTACTGTGTGAACAGGTGTGTGTTGCTTTGGGTAAAGCTATGAGGAAAATTTTTTCTTTACTGCGTTTGTTCTTTTTCAACTGTGTTCCCCTAAATCCACTCAGTAGTAGTCTATATCCATAGACCGGGAAATGTTAAGAGCGTATCTCCAAGGGTATTGTGGAAATATGAATGAAGAAGCAACAGAAATATTGCTTTCGTAAAGCTAATGTCCACATTGGTTTATTGGCTCTTCTGAGTTCAGGATTTCTTGATTAACTAGATATTACAGCTTTAAATTTGCTATGTCAAAATATTTTTTTTTAAATTATCAAAATAGTGCTGTAAAATGCTAGTTAGGTACTCTTGATTCTGCAGAAGACAGTGTATTTGAAGAACTCTGATGAAGTGATAAAATAGTCTGTATTATATAGCTTCTAATTTGCATGTGATGTTAAATTGGACTATTTCCTGGAAGTTTTAAAATGGCAGCTGGTGCCCCTTCCCCAAGAAACATGTTCTCAATTGTCTATTAATACATTCCTCTGGAATCTGTTGGCTTGTTTCAGCTGCATTTGATAGAGCAATACAAGTATAAGAAGTAATGACACTTTTATGTTTTGTGAAAACTGGTGACTAATAGAAGGCAGAAGCCCAAATAAGATCTATTTTTGATGGAGAGGAAGACAAAATTCAGCTGTTAGCCAGTCGTCTGGCAGAAACGGGAGGCTGGCTGATTAGCCAGTGTAGGCTGTCTGCAATTAAGCCATCTGTGTGCTGACTGGCTAGACTCATAACACAATGACTTTTCCCTGATGGGGTTATAGGGTGCATTAATAAGCAAATATTACTGCAGTTAAAGGAAGCTCAGATTCATTTACCTTATTGCTTAAGGACTACCTTCTTAAAACCCATTATATAAGCTAAGATAGTCCTTTACGTGGTCAGAGTTGACCTGTTCTTACCCATTTTGTACTATGTAACTGAGCTCAAGTTCTGCTGTAGTCAAATGTACCTCTCGGAGACATTGTCTTGTTTTTCTGAAAGCAGCTTTCTGTGGCTGATTGCTCTTACAGTAGGTACAGGCTTCTGTGTTAATTTCTAACTTGAATTCAGCTATAACCAGCTCCCAAAGTGTGACTCTTGAATCTAGTGGGAAAATGATAGCCTTTCCTATCATGGATATTGTCTCTGAAGGTACTTGGGCACTGTTGTCAAGTCACTTCCTGTTGTCTTTGATCAGTTGAACTCTTGAAAACTTTTACAGCAAGCTATTTAAAGTACATTGAACCTATTATGGTGACTCTTGTTTGTACCTTCTTTAAACAGTCAGTATCCTTTTAAAAATGTGGCCCTGTGTATCAATTCTGGTATTTTATTATCTAGATTGTCAAAGCTATGTGTAAGTGTGAAATCATTTCTGTTTTCCTTATTATGCTTTTCTTTATGTCCAAAGTGCATATTAGTCCCTTAATAGTCCAATTTGTACTGAGAGTTTGTGTTCAGTAACTTCTTAGCTTAGTTCCAGACCCTTTTTCGGAGCTGTTTGTTACTAGCATGATGTTTTCCATCCTGCTTTAGGTCTGTCCACTGACTTGGATTAGGAATGTAGTTGGAGCTTGGGCTGCGAATTCAGTGGTTTATGTTCAGAGTTTTGGAAGTAACGAGAGTTTGGGTACGAGGAAGGTCTATACATATATGCATTTTGTTTTCTTGTATTTCAGGAGCTGTCTTGCTTTGTTACCCGATGTTATGAAGTGGTGGTGAATGTAGTGCATCAGTTGGCTGTTCTCTACACAAACAACAAGTAATTATTCCCTAAAATGCTATATTGTTTTTATGTAGTTAAACAAATGTATAAATTATGAATGGTCATTTTTGGAACATTGCTGTCTAGAGATATGGAGAGTGCTTTGCTGTGCAAGTTTGGGCTTCATAAGCCATTATGACAGTGGATTTGCTTTATTTTCACAAAAGGCATTACTTTTATATAGTAAGATGCAAGAATTTTATTTTTTTGCCATTTTTGGGTAGAATTGATGCTTCAGAGACACTTAATCTTTGTGACTAAGAGATTTATTACTCTCTCATCCTTGCTCTGTTTGAGAGATTCCTTCTGTTGACTGATACAGTGGATACCACTAGCTTCAGAAGCTTTAAAAGTCAGATTATATTCACAGTTTAGCGTTTTAAATATATACATTTTTGTATATATTCCTTATGGAACGACCATGGTTTCAACACCTGAAGTTGAGCTTAGTAAGGGCTATTGGGTTTAGCTCCTCTGAAAACTCTGAGGAGAGTTTAGCTCCGAGTGGAATTGTTGGGTTTAGCTCTGAGTACAACTGCAGGGCTCTTGATTATGTCCCCTGGGTCCAGATAGGATAGCATCATCATTCTCAGTTTTATTTGTTGTCTTACACAACAGTGCAGTGTAGACTGTCTGTATGGTGCTGAATGAACAGGGCTGGATGAGTAGCTTGGACATGGCTTGATCAAATGTGCGAAGTGATTTTGTACTTCGGGCCCACAAGGCTGTATGTATCAAGGGTACTTATTAGCATAACTGAATTGGGAATTGCTGATAGATATGTGCACTGAATGCAATTAGTGGTTTGAACCAGACACATGCAGTGCATTTAAAAACGCAATACTAAATTTGATCAAAGCACACAATTCCACATAGTGTACACTTCCGATCAGATTTTGAGAATTCTTTTGTTTTCTGAAGTTACTATGTTAACGAAGAAAAATGTGCCCCAAGAAACAAAGAACACACCATGATACAGAATTAATAAATATGCTCTGTTCTAAGGATAAAAAAGGCATCAAAATATTTATTTTGTTTACAGGAATGCACCTAAAATTATAGAGACATCTGGAGTTCATTTTCAGGTGAGAATGACTCAGAGCCCCTTTTGCTTATGTTAACATATGTATTTCTTGATCATTAATCCTGAGAAAGGCGTCAAGAAAGTGAATTTCAAGTGCAACTTTCAATCTGTAGTCTCCCTCAAAGGTTTTATTTTGCTAATCAGCTTTTTTGGCCTTTATGTGGGAAGTGCTAGTATCTCCATGTCTGTCATAATCCAGCTTTCCACACTCCCTTATTGTGTGTGCTGTGTGCTTCTGCGTGTAGACAGTTTTGAAAATTGTACCTTCGATGTCAAATTACAGCAATGAACTTAAAGCTGTGCCTGTACACAAACTAATACTCTTTTTGTCACTGAAAGAAATACTAATTCTTTAGCTACCAAACCAAGAAATCTCCAATTTAACTCTTTAGCTGATGTCTCATTGGCTGATAATGTATTGAAAGGAACTGAAATTTTATTTGCACTTTTACACACGTGACTGTAATAAACTTCTCAATAACTACAGTCCCTTTCTCTTTGTTTTAAACAGGCAATGTATGAGCACCTGGGAGAGTTGCTCACAGTCTTAATCACTCTTGATGAAATAATTGACAATCATGCCGCTCTAAAAGATCACTGGACCATGTATAAGAGGTGTGTCTCTGAAGGTGTGAAACACTCCCACAACATAAAAGATAAAAGCATGTGTGTGTGTCTTTATTCCACGAAAGTCAGTGTGGGAACATGCATTTTGGTAGCCCCGAGAGTGTTCTAGAAACCTCAATGAAGAGCAGGGTTAAGCTCCTACTTTGTCCTCCTGACAGCACCAATAAGTTTTTAAAGTGCTGAATCTTATATTTACAACACACGACAAGAGCTATGGTTGGTGGGGTTTAAAATATGTTCAGTAAGGAATCTAATTTTGCACAGAACTGATCTAAGACTATCCATATTGATCATGGGGATGGGTATACAGATTTAAGTAAGAACGCTATCTTGAATAAAAGCTGAAACGCCAACAATTGGAAAGGTAAAATTAGCGGAAAAAGTACGCCATTTCATTGAAAACCTGAATAAATGGGAGTTATTCAAATGCTTATACAGACCTAGTGGGTTTTGGTTTTTTATTTCTTTTGGAGTTGCTGCTGGGCACAGACAGGTGCAATTAAAATCTATTATCAAAGTAGTACAGAGTATGATAAAACTGTTAGTCTGTTTTAGTTTTATTGTATGTATATGTTCCGTACCTCCTCCTAACAGGCTGCTAAAATCTGTCCATCACAACCCTTCTAAGTTTGGGATTCAAGAAGATAAACTGAAGCCATTTGAAAAGCTGCTGTTAAAACTGGAATGCCAGTTACTTGATGGAATGATATTTCAGGTAATTAAATTAGTGTTCCCCAGGGGAAACTATTATGTTAAAGTGGCACTCTTTTTAGAATGTTTTGTTTGTTTGTTTTTATTTTGTTTTGTTCTGGATACAGTGATGTGTGAATTTGGCTCTTGCATCTGTGCATGGGGGGGGAGGGGGGGAAAGGCTCTATTGTAAGACACTTCCTTGCTCTTCTCATGTGCTAGAACTGTGCCAGGCTTTGAATGGTAGCAGTTAATGCTTGCTGTTTGGCAGAATTAAAGAAACACAGACAACTTGGCATTAAGACTGTATATTATCAGGGAGTCTGTTTTTCACCAGAAATTTACGTCGTGGTCAGGCTTACATAGTGTAGGTCCACTTTATTTTAGCTGCAGGTTAAAATCTCCTCAGTCATCTTGAAAATACGTTGTGTGACTTCTTGTTATAAATGTTGTCTGATTCCTGGCATATAAGACAGGCAGTTGTCATGGGGTACCACTTCAGTGGTGTATACCGCTGAAACATTTAAGCGTACAGGTGGATGAGAAAGAGTATTACTTTTTCAGTGAGGTTAATTTAAATGTGTTCATACAAGAAGTTATCTTTTTTTTAGAAAAGTATGTATTTGAGACTCTAAAATCGGATGTTGTGCCATAGTGGGCAGAGGATAGCATTGCTGAATCTGGTCAATTGAATAGGACAGTTGCTCAGTTCTTACTGCTACATCTTAAATGGCATAGAGAAGAAGGTTTTGTTCTTTAAAGACCTTCAGAAGGGAAATTGTAAGTAAATAATTAAACACAATTTGGCTTATTCTTTCAAAGGACATTGCTACCAGCTATCAATCTTTCATTTATATGTCTCTAATGTTGCATTAGTACAAAGACTTCACTATATGTTTGAGACATCGATAGGATTTGTCTTGTATTCATTCAGGATCCTTCCCTTCCTGGCTTGCCAAAACCCCTTCCTAATAAAAATACATGAAAAATATTAAATACAGTTCCACTAAAGACTTTTCTAATGTCTTTAGAAAATCTGAAGTGTGACCTTTTTTTTTTTTTACTACTGTGTGGTTTGTGGTAATTTTTTTTTTAAACAGCCACCAGTGGTATGGGGGTTTTATCAATGTGCTTTTGCAGTATGCTTCTCTTGCAAAATCAGTATTCTTTTCAGGTTCAAAATCCATGACATTATCACTATGCTTTTCTTCCTTTTTGCTCAGGCCTGCATAGAGCAACAGTTTGATTCTGTAAATGGTGGAGTGTCAGTGTCGAAGAACAGCACGTTTGCTGAAGAATTTGCTTATACTCTTCGTACAACTTTTGCAAATGTTGAAGCCAAACTTGGTAATGCAAGCTCATGATTCTCCTGCCAGATTCACTGCTTCTAAAATGGTTTGTTTTGTTTGTCTGGGAGTAGATGTCAAAAAAGGATTTATTTTTTTTTTTTGGTGTACTGCTTTAGGTGAACCTTCAGAAATTGACCAGAGAGATAAATATGTGGGCATCTGTGGCCTCTTTGTACTGCATTTTCAGATTTTTCGGACCATAGACAAGAAATTCTACAAGTCATTGTTGGATGTCTGTAAAAAGGTGAATGCTTTATTCTTTTGTCTATAATTAAGAGGGGAAAAAAATCTTTGGTAATGAAGTAGATAATTTTCTTTGTTGCATAGCAAAGATGTGGCAAAAGAAAACACAATTTACCAAAACAAGTCAGAAAGCAGAATTAAGATTTTTTTCTACATAATTTCCTTTCCCCTTCCATTTTCTTTTAAAGATGCTCCAAAAACCTGTCCACTCACTTAGCAGCAAGGCAAAATAACTTTGAAATTACCATTAAAATGTTTCTTCAAGCTTAATGTCACACTGAGGACAAAAAATTGTTTGATTTATGATTATTGCGGGACTGAATAAATGCTTTGGGTTTTTACCTTGGCTATAAACATGCATCTTGAAAGACCTCGAAGTCCAAAGGTGATTGGGGCTTTTTCATATTGAGTGGTATTTAGAAATTAAGATCTCTAATACTGTTTAGAGTCACTGAGCGTGGTAATTGCTTTGCCTGTAGTGTCCTTAGTGACTTCTAGGGGAGAAACCTTTTTTAATGTGACCATAATGCTTTGTAGAAACTAATTATGGAGAAATAAACTGAATTTTGTGTTACGGTTCAAAAGAGGCATAAGAAACATGCATGGTGGCATAGTATTTGTTGTAGTTACTTATGTATTGCTACTTGTATTATTTTCCTCCTTTTTTCTCCCCACCCCCCCAGGTACCAGCCATCACATTAACTGCTAACATTATCTGGTTTGCTGACAACTTTCTGATTCAGAAGATACCAGCTGCTGCCAAACTTCTGGACAAGAAAAGTATTCATACAGTTAAAATGCAACGGGAGAACTTTCTACAGCAGAAGGCACAGTCACTTACCAAGTATGCTTCCTAAATATTGCTTCATGGTGATGTTTGGCAAACAGTTTAAAAACACCTGGGTTTCTTCATTCAGGGTACTGGCATGTTGTGTGGTGTTGCTCAGTGGTGTTAACTTTTCCAATTCACTGCAACAATATGTGTGTTAGTGTTGCTGAAAAAGTGTTGGTCAAAGTGAAGCTTTTTTTCATGTCATGCTTTCAGAAAAATGTGTATTATGTCACCAAAATAACAAAGTTCCTGGCAATTCTAAATATTTGTTTCAGTTATTTCTACTTCCATTTTTTAAAAAAATAGTATCTAGTAACGTGAGCTGCTCTGTTTTCTGTTAGGGCTCTCTGCTTTCTCTGTGTTTATGGAGGGTTTTTTCTCTGCTCAATGATACTTTCTTCACAAGCATTTCTTTCTTCATGACTTTTAATTGCTTGTTTAATGCTCTTTGAAATTATCTGTGTATGAAAAGGCTTCTCTTCTGTGCTCTGCATGTCATTTGCAGTTCCCTTCTTTAAGTGCTTTCTACAATATGTTTAAAGATGAGTTGGAATTTTTTTTAGTTGTCAGTCTTATGAACAAGTGTGCTGCGCTGCATAGGGAGATAATAGGGCTAAGATTTCTGTTTATGTTGCAGACCAAAACAAGAAGGTGGAAAATGGGGTCTGTGGAATAGAAGTAAAAACTGACATTTTGCAGGTTGTCCTTCAACCCTGTATGCAAGCTGGCAGAACTGGGTTAGAGTTCTGCCAACTGGAGGGGAGGGCAGGAAGAAGCAGCTCTAGGTCTACGTGATCCTCTGGCAGGCTATTTTCACTACTGCCCTGTTTCTGTTTAAATCCACCTCTTCCTGGTGTATGTCCTATATCCACAGGAAGAGTCAAGAGCTCTGAATGAATTCTTTCCTGGGGTTTAATTCTTGGATGCAGCATAATTGCACTGCTGCTTTTGCTTTTGGTCTTGGGCAGTGGTACAAGTCATGTCTTGCAGCTCTTAAGAAAAGGTTGAATAAAAAAAAAAAGGTCTGGGTATTCATGGACATTTTCAGGATATTGCAGTACGATGTAGATTTTACACATGCAGATTTGAACTTTGCAAATAACTTTTTCTTGCCTTTTTGCAAGTTCTTGCATTGCCTTTGATAATTGGACTGTTGCCTTAAATATGAGTACTCTAGAAAGTGTCATTTTTTAATGTCATAGTCAATGACCTGAATA